TATTTTATTATTTTTATGGCTGAATAATATTCCACTGTGTGTGTATGCATATATATGTATGTATGTGTATACACACACATATGTATATATACCACATCTTCTTAAACCAATCATCTGCTGATGGACACTTAGGTTGTTTCTATGATTTGCTATTACAAATAGTGCTTCTATGAACACTGGGTGCCTGTATCTTTTCGACTTAGAGATTTCATTTTTCCTGATACAACCAAGGAGTGAGTTTGCTGGATGACACGGTAGCTCTAGTTTTAGCTTTTTAAGGAATCTCCATACTGTTTTCCATAATGGCTACATCAATTTACCTTCACATCAATGGTGTACAAGGGTTCCCTTTGCTCCACACCCTCTTCAGCATTTATTATTTGTACGCTTTTTGATGCTAGCCATTCTGACTGGTATGAGGTGATATCTTATTGTGGTTTTGATTTGCATTTCTTTAAATACTTAGTGATGTTGAGCGTATTTTCACATACCTGTTGGCCATCTGTATGCCTTCTTTGGAAAAATGTCTATTTAGCCCTCCTGCCTGTTTTCTGATTGAGTTGTTTGTTTTTTCCATACTGAGCTGTATGAGCTGTTTGTATATTTTGGATATTAACCCCTTCTCAGTTACGTCACTAGCAAATATATTCTCCCATTACATAGGCTGTCTTTTCATTTTGTTGATGGTTTCCTTCACTGTGCAAAAAGCTTTTAAGTTTGATTAGGTTCCATTTGTCTATCTTTGATTTTATTTCTTGTGCCTTAGGAGACTGAGCTAAGAAAATATTGCTATGATTCATATCAGAGGATGTGGAAATAGTAGTCTTAAATGACACATTAGACCCATTGGATTAATAGATATCTACAGGGTAATCCATTCAAAAACAGCAGAATACAGATTCTTTTCAAATGCACACAGAATATTCTCCAGGATATTCACATGCTGGAATCTATTTAAATATAAGAGAATAAAATTTATATCAAGCATTTAACTGGACCATAACAATATGAAACTAGAAATCAATTACAGGAAGAAAAAAATGGGAAAAATCAAACATGTGGAGACTAAACAGCATGCTACTAAAAAGTCAATGAAGAAATCAAAGAGGAAATCAGAAAATACATCAAGACAAATGAAAATACACAACTTTCCAAAATCTATGGGATGCAGCAAAAGCAGTTCTAATACATGCCTACCTCAAGAAGTGAAAAAAATATCAAATAAACAACTTAACCTATCATCTAAAGTAATTAGAAAAATAAAAGTGAAGCCCAAAGTCAGCAGAAAGAAGGAAGTAATAAATATCAGAAAGGAAATTAATAAAAAAGAGGAAAAAAACAGAAAAAATGATTGAAACCAAGATCTAGTTTTTTGAAAGGATAACCAAAATTGATAAGCCTTTAGCAAGTTCATCAAAAAAAAAAGAGAAGACCTAAATAAACAAATAACAAAATAAGAAAGGAACAAGGAGATATTACAACCTGTATCACACAGATACAAAAAATACAAAAAAAAATCACAGGAGAGTACTATGAACAGTTGCACACCAAAAAACTAGACAACCTAAAAAAATGGATAAATTTCTAGAAACATAAAATCTTCCAAGACTAAATCAGGAAGAAATAGACAATCTGAACAGATTGATCATAGCAGTGAAACTGAATTAGTAATCAAAAACTCTCAGCATACTAAAGTCCAGGTCTAGGCACGTTCACAGAATTCTACCAAATACAAAGAAGGGCTAATATATATCCTTCTCAAATTATTCCAAAAAACTGAAGAAGAAGAAACACTCCCAAATACATTCTATCAGGCCAACATTACCCAGACACCAAAACCAGACAAAGACACTACAAAAAAAGAAAGCTACAGGACAATATCTCTGAATATAGATTCAAAACTCATCAACACAATATTAGCAAACCAAATCCAACAATATATAAAAGGGATCATACACCATGATCAAGTGGGATTTATTCCACGGATGCAAGGATTATTCAATATCCACAAATCAGTCAATGTGATACATCACATTAACAAAACACAGGATAA